GGAAAAAAATGCCAAAAATTTTTTATTTCCACGTTGGATATTCCCATTTAAATCCTACATGAATCCCAACTAGAGAAATTGACAATAAACTTATTTCCTTTTTAATTGGGAATTCCCAATTGGGTTCTCATTGGGTCCTCATTGGGATTTCCCTATTGGGCATGCCCCATTGAAACCCAATGGGGCCCAGATGGGTACCTTGGGTATTCCCAAAATAATTTCTAGTCGGGTGCATAGTACTCTCGTTACAAATGAAGTAATGTCCGACATTACATAGAAAATGACATGATGGCATTGATCTATCGCAAACTTATTGGACTATGATGATACTATCTATCGATACCAACATTGATACTATTTTTTAGAAAATTTCATTTAAAAAATTCCACTAAGAAAGATTGTGCAGTGAAAAAATTAATATGCCCGCTATTACATCCTAGATAATAATGATAAATTTCAGTCAATATAATACTTCAATAGGTAAGAGCGTAACAGAAATAAGGAAGCATCAACATCGCAGCCTACAGAATTATAGACTGCTCGACTGTAATTGAGCTATAAGTAATCGTTCGAACAATGTATGTAATCAAATCACAGGCATTCAATTTCAGTTTATGCAGATATGGATTACAAATATTTTTGTTGTCTGTAATTACATTATTATTAAAAAGCTCTGTAAACAATCCTTATGTAAGCAAAATCAACTTAATGCACCATGGTATTTCCAATATTTATTTTATATCACAATCCCTAAACAAACCACTTGATGATTTTATTTTTTTTGGTTTAGCGATTATTAATTGTATATTTTTTTCATGGCATGTCGAATCAAAAATATTTGACTTGGGTTTAAAATTGTTACGAAGTAGTAAAATATTTAAATAAAAATAAAGTAAATAAAACTTAAGAAACTAAATCTTTGATTAAAAAAATAAAGTTGATATTAAATGGAATTTTTATTGACTTAGAGCTATGGAAATTTTTTATCCGAGGTCAGAATAATTAACTTAATAATTGATATTCCTTTTTTTAAATCAATTATTCAAAATGTAAATAAATTATAATAATCGTTGAACATAGAACTGGAGACAGTTCATTTCGTGAATTTAGAAGCACAAAATTAAATTGAATAAAAAAAAATTAAAATTAAATTATATTCAAATTACATTATGTCGTAATTAAACTTTATTGAATAATTAAATTAAGTCTGAATTATTTACATTTGATATTTGATTATTTTTAGAAAAATATTAATATTAACATTAAAATTCTGCAATAAATTCTTACTCATGTAAATTAATCTTTTAAAAACTTGATTAGATAATGGAACACCTGATTATATATTATCAAAATATTACACGTATCAATATAATAAAATTATCGTGCTAAGAACAGTGCTACGGCTACAGGCAAAACCATAGAAACTAACTGTAATCCAATACTCGAAGCAGAATTACATCCATCCTTGTCGCTGCAGACAAAACAAGAGTTTTCATCTTTTCCGTTGCAATATGATACACTCTTCTTTGCACATTGTCTGGTGATTGTTTCTACGTCTCCTTCTACGAAAATCATACAGTTTTAGTTCCCAAAATAATATTCAGAATTATTGATAGCTGCATACTTAAAACTATTAATAGTTTGTTTAATAATTAATTTTATTTAAAAATTACCTTTGCTTACTAGTTTGACACACTCCCAAGTTTCATCAGCACGAGTGTCTACAAAACGTCTTAGTCGTTTATAAAGGGCATCTGATGAAGTAGCTGCACTTGAATTTCCTGTAGAATTTCCTGATGGAGCTGCAGTTGTAACTACTGTCGCGGAGGAAGGAGGCGCAGTTGTAATTACTGTCGTTGGGGAAGGAGGCACAGTTGTCACTGTCGTTGGAGGTGTAGTAACAATAGTTGTTTCATTATTTAATGGTGTTGTGGTACTAGTATCTTCTCTGCAGTCCATTAAATCAGTTTTTGTAGGTTCAGTCCAACATGTTTCATTGCTGAGAGAAGTGCATTGATAACACTTCAATGACAATCCTAGAAAATTTTACAAAACTTAATATATGTTCAATAGTTACTTTTTTTTCTATTTTAGTGATTTAAAAAAATTTTTTTTTTTTTTAATTTTTTCAAATTTTTATAAAAAAATTTCAAGAAACTGTACAAAACTTCGTTAAATCTTGTAACTTATATCGAATTTAAATTTTGAAAAAATAGTTTAGATTTGATAAAATATTTTAAATTTTATAAAATTTTCATTTTTCTAACTTTAAATTTTATATGGTTTTGAAAAATTTCATATAAATTAGAATAGAAAGTTTTATGAAACTTTATAAAATCAAGTGAAGACAGAATTATTTCATGTAATTTCAGTAATATATTTTAAAAAACAAAAAATTCATAATAATGATAATAATTTAGTAAATGAAAAATTGTCATCAAATATTTGCTCTTAAATCGAACACTTCCTATTTATTTAATTAAAAATTCAATAGTTGAGTTTTGTTTTGTAATCTCTGTTTTGTAATTAATAATTACCTTGATCAACATTGAAAATAATGAAAAAACTGATGAGCACCAATGAACTTAAATTAATCCGACTGATGATCATTTTGGAATTCCAAAAATACAGTATTGTAAATTATATAAAACAAACAGCTCACTACAATTGTGAAGTCCCCAACAAAATGGTTGAGTTACAGGTCTGATTAACGCTTTTACATAAACCACCACCTAAATCATAATCGCTGTCAAGTGCAAAGATAAAGGTAATGCCTTATCACAGCAGACTTGCGATCAATAAAATATCATAGGTGAGCTGATTTAGACGATCTACTGATAATTTATTTTATCGAGGTCATCCTATTTGCCGTATGATAACTAAATTATTTTTATTATTGCTCGGCTGTACCAGGTACATATCCATTTTTAAATAAATACATCTTTGTGTTGTATTTTACCGAACATTCAGTAAAGAGCCGATTAGTCTCATGACTTTTTTTATTTTTATCTTTTTAATCAATTGATAATTTATCAGGCATTCATAATTACAGTATAAAATCCATGACATACATTTAGTCATAACAAATTTTATTACATTTATTCACAATTTTAATTCTAATTTTTTTAAAACTTATTACAATAATTCTGGTTGACTAAAATTTGTATACACTAATAAAAAATTTATCTCGATTTAAAAAAATCAATCTTGACCAAAAAACATATTTTGAAGACAACTGGTTGTCGCATGTCAAGAATTTTTTGTCGTGAATATCATCTTGACTCAAGAATAGTAATATTATAACGTGAAAATGAAATTGACATATTGCTACTGTTAAAAATAAAATATCTTTTATTAATAAATATTTATATTTACTTATTTCCACATTGTAATATGACCATTTGTTTTTTAATTATGACATTGTGCGAAACATTATGTTTATTCCATTTATTTAGGTGTGAACTTTGTGAGTGAGACTTTCGGCGCTCGTATGTTAGCTAAAATTATTGAAAAAATTCGAATTTCATGTTTCTTAATTATTTTCAATCAGTATTTTCAAACAAGGGGCGCATACACTTCGCTCGTGGCATCAACACAGCTGTAATTGAACGCCTCATTTATTCTTTGCACAATACACTATTACGTTGAGTTATTAATAACAAAATTTATATCACATTGATAAAAAATGTTTTGATTTTATTTGATCAATTTGCGTGATAGATTGCAATTTTGCATAAAATTTAAACTTTGTAAACAATCCAAAAGTTGTCATGTTATTTTAAATAGACTGTCAATAGATAGCGCTGTATTTGTTTTGATGTTATTTTCATTCATTTTTTGTATATTTTTTGTCAATAGAGGAAAACATAAGCTATAAAATAGTTCTTGACTTTTTGAGATTGCTAAAGAAATGAAAAGAGATCTGGCCATAACACAAAAAAAAGTGCCATCCGGCAGCCAAAATGGAAGTAGATTTCCTACTTAAATAAAATCACAACACTGATGATATACAATAATACTTCAATCACATATTGGAGGAAAAGAGATTTCCTTAAGATACGAAAAATGAATGCAATAGTAAAATTTCATTAAATATCTACATACAATAGGTTATTTTCAGTCTAAAAAAATAAAATGACATAAAAATTAAAGCTCGTTTAATGGACTTTAAAATACAATTTACAAAAATCCGATAAGTGATTTCATTCAAAAGTTATCCTCAAAAAAAACTGCCAAAAAATGAATTTTTACAATTTTGAAACCTTGTAATTTCTGAACTACTTGACCAATTAAGATCATCTTTGAACTTGACCTTGGTATTCGTCTAAAGATTAAGTATGTTGACTTTGGAAAAGATCCATTATAAATTGGAAACGCTATCGGCCATCAGACAAGCCGCGTTCTATACATATACATTAATATGTAATATAAATACATACATATATAAACTTTTGAATCATATGTATTTTCTGAGCCAGCTCGACGAACTGAGTCAGGAAATAGCCAAATTTTTCGAAAGTTTCGCCATGAGGACAAATGCAATAGTTAGATTTATATGAAATCTACTAAAAAATACTTTTTAGAAATAAGATCTATCATGTTAATTTTAATTTCAGACAATGCCTTACAGAAGAATCATCAGCGACTATTCTTAAAAAAGTGTCCTGCTTGATACTTAATTTCTCTGCCAATCTTTTTTGCACGCCTCATAGCACGAAACGCGTGAGGTTGTGCTTTATATACTCGACTCGTCAAGGTCAAGCAATTTTGTGATCTTTTAATGCCTCTATCACATTCATATTGCACCCATACAACAATATAAGTACCCGACCAGAAATTTAAGTTCGGCGGTGGTTCATTCCGAATTCGGCATGCCAAGTTCCAAGCTCGCGCCGAATCAGGAAGCCAAAGTTGGCCCACGTCCCGGAAGTAACGCAGTCGCGAGTTTGGGCCTAACTTGGCTTCCGACTTAGGCGGTGGTTTGGAAACCACACTTGCTGGTGACTAACTAAGCCTCATTCGGTCCGAATTTGGCTACCTAACTAGGCAGCAATTCAGAAACCAAATTCTCACGGAATAATCCAAATTGAGTCCTTTCTTCGTTTTTAGCTACTTTTATGATAAAGCAAAAATTTATAATAATGAATGCTTATTTTTTTAATTTACTTTTAAAATTTTAAATATGAATATTGACTTTAGGACGAATTTTTTAAAATACTGAGTAAATAAAAAAAATTTTTTTTTTTTTTATTTAGGTATTACTTTTTTTTATATTTTTGGTAATTTTTTTCGCTTTTTAGGATTTTTCTTACTATGAAGTTTTTTTTTTTGATTGGTCGGTTTTATAGGTCAAGGGGGATGATGGAGTTAGATACATTAGTCACACACAACACTTAAATTTACCTCACACCCGCCTTAAGAGTAATTATAATTAATAATTATTAAAAATTTTACATCGAACGCGAGACTCGAACACTGTACCCGACGCACGAGAGCCCTATACCGTACCGCGACGCTACGCCGGCGATGAGCGACCTCTTGCCTCAAGATACTTATAAGCCTGACACTTCGGCAAATATTCGGTTACCGTTGCAACATTCGAGTTAGGAATTCCGATATTATACCTAAGTGAGAATTTGCCACAAACTTACCTAATCAAGTTCGATTTTGATAGACCAAGCTTCAGAATGCCTTTAGTTACTGCTCGGTAAGCTTTTGGTTACCGTTATTTCGTACCAGTTTGGCAATTCATGGCATACCGAACTTAGGCACTGCCACAATTTTGCCTAAATGAGCCCGAGCTTGGAGAACCAAACTTCGGTAATCCTTTGGTTACCGTTATTTCATACCAGTTTGGCAATCCATGACATACCGAACTTAGGCATTTCCACAGTTTTGCCTAAAGAATCTCGATCATGGTATGCCAAGTTTCGGCAAGCCTTTGGTTACTGTTATTTCATAACAGTTAGGCAATCCATGATACATCGAACTTAGGCATTTCCACAGGTTTACCTAAGTAAACCCGAGCTTGGTGAACCAAACTTCGGTAAGCCTTTGGTTACCGTTATTTCGTACTAATTAGGCAATCTATGACATGTCGAACTTAGGTATTGCCACAGGTTTGCCTAAGTGAGCCCGAGCTTGATGAACCAAACTTCGGTAAACCTTTGGTTACCGTTATTTCATACTAATTAGGCAATCCATGATATGCCGAACTTAGGCAGTGCCAAACTATTACGAGATTACATCAAATGTGGAATTCTTTTGGCATACCAATGTTCGGCTTGCCTAATTTAAAACAAATAAGATCCGAATTGGGTTAGCCTAAGTTCGGAAAGCCAACTTCGCCCCGAACTGATTTTTTGGCATGCCTCACTAAAATTCTAGTCGGGTAGATGTACACCGAGGAAACACTTTAATTAAACCATCTTTTACTTTCTAAAATCATTTCATGTTGCTATTATGAAGAAAAAAACGTTTTGAAAAAAATTTTACGTGGACGTCCTGATGTCACCCCATTTTGGATGTACCAACGATCACTCCCGAACTAATTGATATTTCAAAATCGAGCCTTTTTTATTACGCGGTAAGAAATTTCTGTAGAAATTTACTATGCATACATAATAAGACTGAACCTTAATGACTCTATTCAAAATATTACCATAAAAATATAAGAATATCATACTGTACCAATCAATATTTACTAGGGATCATAGTAAATTTGGCCATGCAACTGTTACATAAATATTTATAAAAAATGGTGTGTGTACTTATGTACACGCGTCAGAAGTTATACTTCTTTGGCATATAATAAAAAAAATTTTAAAGAAAAAAAAATACAAAAATGATGAAAGAAAAATGTTAAAAACAATCAAATAGGTTTTATTATAGTAAAAATTTAGTTATACCGTATAAATGTAAAATCATTTATTATCATATGAATTTAATTCAATATTATTAAAGATTTTTCTAAATAAACTAATTTTGGAGCTTCAAAGTATCAATAGTTTACAATCGATAATTAATATTTTAATTATGGAAATTAAGTTAACTGACACATAAAAATTTTTAGAATTTTCACGTAACAGCAGAAATATCATCCTAGGAGTGACCATAGGGAATTTTTGGAGCAGTCATATTTCTGCAAAGAACTTAAAATTAAAAATATTGATTAATAAACTATTATTTTAAACTCGTCGAAAAGAAAAGAATTAATGAATGAATTTGAACCACAATACAAATAAATTTTAAACTAATAAAGAGAAAAGTAAAAAATCTCTATATTTTACAATTCTTTCTCTATCATTCTAAAGTCGATAAATTATTCAATCAGCAACTAACATAAAAAAAGTTTGGAAAATCCAAATGAGCATGCCTTAAGCGCTCATGTCATCCATAAATTATTTAGATCATAACAAAAATTATTCGATTTTAATTTGAATTTTCCCGCGAGTAGTACTATCCCCTCTGTCAGTCGAACTAAAGAAAAATTTTAACAGATGATAAAACAGTTAGTAATTATACCATCATGTATTATGTATAGTTTCTGCTTGTTTATAGTTATTTCGATTCTGTTTATGAAAAATAATATATACTAGTATACGTTGCGC